GGTCATCAAGCAAAGTGTAATGACTCTGTGCCTCCTTCTAGAACACTAATATTTCTGTTTTTACTTTTTAATTCAATTTTCTTCCTTGTGTATTTTTTGCTTTTTCCCTTTCTTGTTCGAAGTGAACTCACGAAAATCCATAGAATGGAGGTACTAATCCTGTATTACTCTTTTTATTTTAATTGGGAACATTTTAATGTGAAGTTAATATTAGATGCTATGAAGGAATTATTTCTATATTTTGGTGCTATAGTGTCATCGTGATTCATTATTTCAGGAACTATGGTGGGGTTTTTTGTTTGTTTTTTTTTGTTTCTGCTTTATAACAAAGTGAATCAGCTCTACATATACATATATCCCCATATCCCCTCCCTCTTGTATCTCCTTCCCTCCCACCCTCCCTATCCCACCTATCTGGTGGTCACAAAGCACCGAGCTGATCTCCCTGTGCTTTGCAACTGCTTCCCACTAGCTAGCTATTTTACATTTTTTAGTGTACTTATGTCAATGCTACTCTTTCACTTCGTCCCACATTACTCTTCACCCTCCCATAACCTTATATCCATTCTCTACATCTGCGTCTTTATTCCTGTGCTGTCCCTAGCTTCATCAGAAGTATTTTCTTTTGAATTTTCTGTTCTATTTTTTTATACAGCAGGTTCTTATTAGTTATCCATTTTATACATATTAGTGTATATATGTCAATCCCAATCTTCCTATTCATCACACCAGCACCACCACCCCCATGCCACTTTCCCCACTTGCTGTCCATACGTTTGTTCTCTACATCTGTGTCTCAATTTCTGCCCTGCACACCGGTTCATCTGTGCCATTTTTCTAGGTCCCACATATCTTCGTTAATATACAATAATTGCTTTTCTGTTTCTGACTTACTTCAGTCTGTATGACAGCCTCCAAGTCCATACTCCTAACTAACAGTAACTCAATTTCATTACTTTTTATGGCCGAGTAATTTTCCATTGTATATAGGTGACACATTTCCTTTTTTTTTTCCATAAAAAAATATATGGTTATTTTCATTACCTTTCTACATTACATATTATTTTGTGTTTAGAAAATTTACATTTCCAATGGTAATTTTGGTTTGGATTCTTTATTCATTGGAAGGTGTACAGAAACCAGCTCACTCTCTCTCTTTTTTTCCAGCCTTCGTTTCCCAGAGAAATAACATCTGACATACTAGAAAGATAGAGGGGACATCAGAAAGTCACAGCATACATAAGGCTAGTTAAATGCTTAAAACATACTTGAGATCTCAGATACCTCACAGTGTCCCTAGAATATGGTCATCAAAGAAAGTGCAATGACCCTGAGTCTTTTTTTAGACCGCTTTTTTATTATTATTTTTTCTTTTGCGGTACGCGGGCCCCTCACCGCTGTGGCCTCTCCTGCTGTGGAGCACAGGCTCCAGATGCGCAGGTTCAGCGGCCACGGCCCATGGGCCCAGCCACTCTGTGGCATGTGGGACCCTTCCTGACTGGGACATGAACCCATGTCCCCTGCATCGGCAGGCGGACTCTCAACCACTGCGCCACCAGGGAAGCCCAAGCATAAATTTTATATGCACTGGGAAACAAAAAAAAATCTGTGATGCTTTGTTATTTGCTTTATTGCAGTGGTCTGGAACTGAACCCACAGTTTCTCTGATGTATGCCTGTACTGTGATCATTTCAATGAATTCTCACAACAACCTCATGAAGTAGGTACTGTTAGTTATTCCCATTTTACAGATGAGAAAACTAAGGCACAAGGAGAATAAGCAACTCACCAGGTGAGCCAGCTAGCAAGTGGCAAGCAAAGCTAGGATTCAGACACCGGCAGTCTGGCTTCAGGGTCCCTGCTCTCAACTACTGCCATGCTCTACCTCACATAAATTCGGTATATCAAGCCCTGGAATTCATAGCTATTTTTTGCCTAGGATGAGATTCAATTAGGTATTTAAGGTTTTCAAAAAGTGAATCAATTTAAGTAAATATGTTGAGTGAATACTACCATGGCTGGTACCCAGGCATGGCAAAACTTTCAAGGGCACATGAATGACTGAGGTTTAGAAAACATTGGAGTAAACCATGTAAATCTAAGATATGACAGAATATACCTGAGCTGTTACCAATGTACTAGGTAGGCTACTGCCCACCATGATTAAAATCTGTATGGGGAATTCCCTGGTGGCCCAGTGGTTCAGATTCCACGCTTCCACTGCAGGGGGCACGGGTTCAATCGCTGGCTGGGGAGCTAAGATCCCGCAAGCCACTCTGCGTGGCCAAAATACAAATAAATAAAAATTGAAAAAGAAAACCCGTATGGATCTCTTGTGTAATAACTCGTCCCAGGCCATAACTGTTCACCAGGTATCTAGCCAAAAGAGACGGAAGCCTGCAGAACTCAGCGAAAGCTGCCCTGAGGAGGAAACATCTTGATTAAAGTTGGAGAGAGGTTGTAGAGGTGCCATCCCTTGACATCTGTTTGAAAGTGAATCGGTCAACCAGCCATCTATTCCCTGGTTTCCTACCCACCACCCCCTGGGAACATGACGCACAGCAGTCACAGTGCCCCAAAATATTTTAATTTCTTTTTAAATTAAAAGAAAAAATTAATATGATCCAGCCCAAATTATATTTGTCTTTATACCAACAGGCGTAAAATATAATTTTTAAAAAAATGTTATGGAGGAAGAGGCCCAAGAAGGCAGAATTGCCTAGGGCTCACAAAAGTCCTAATGTGGCCCTGATACTGGGGTGGGTCTCATGACCTCTCCCTCCTGACTGTGTCTTGAAGGAACCAGTTCAGAAGCCAATGCACGCAGCACCCTGATCCTATTAGCATCCCCTCAGTGTTGAGAAAAGTAAAGGTACCACATTTGGGAAACCCAGCACTCCTGGATCCCAAATCTCTGGCTTAGGGAGACTCAGCCAAGGCCCTGGTGCAACGGGGGAGAGGCTTGAACCAGCGCAGGAGGAGGTGGACTGGCACTCAGGATTTTTTTTTTTTTTTTGGCCACGCTTTCCGGCATGTGGGATCTCAGTTCCCTGACCAAGGATCGAACCCGCGTCCCCTACAATGGAAGCGTGGAGTCTTAACCACTGGACCACCAGGGAAGTCCCACTCAGGATTTTTAAAGACTGCCCAATGGCCTGCTTCCCCAAAATACCTTTCCCCCTCCTCCACTCCTGCCTGGAATCACACCATTATTTACTCCTTTGAAATAAGACAGCAAGAATATTGTGAAAAGTGCACAAACTCACTCGTGTGCCCATGGTCAAGTTGCCTGGCTTCCCTGGGGCTCAGTTTTCTGTGTAAAAAGAATGGGGAGATAATAACGGTGGTTGTAAAAGTAAAAGTAGGATAAATTATGCACAGTGCTAGGCAGAGGACTCATTTCTTTTTATGTGAGTCTTTTCCAGATCTTACTTCCCCGACCAGGGATCGAACCTGTGCCTCCTGCAGTGGAAGTGCGGAGTCTTAACCACTGGACTGCCAGGGAAGTCCCTTAGAAGTGATTATTATAATATGAAGGACGTGAAAACGTCCTGGAACACCTGCAAACACTTCTTGGAGGAAGAACCACAATCGTAATTCGCAGCCTGGCCCTTTTTTTTTTTGCGGTACGCGGGCCTCTCACTGTTGTGGCCTTTCCCGTTGCGGAGCACAGGCTCCGGACGAGCAGGCTCAGCGGCCATGGCTCACGGGCCCAGCCGCTCCGCGGCATGTGGGATCTTCCCGGACCAGGGCACAAACCCGTGTCCCCTGCATCAGCAGGCGGACTCTCAACCACTGCGCCACCAGGGGAGCCCCTGGCCCTTTTTTTAAATTTGACACATTGGTAGGGAAAACAGCTCAGTAAGATAAATCTAGAAAAATGGAGAGAGAGGAGAGGAAGCGGCAGTGGGGAAGGCAGGAACTCTTCCCAAGTCGACAGTACCCGCCCGGGAATAAGGCGCGCTTTAGGCGTCTGCAGAGCCGGGTGCCTTGAGGTGAGCAGAAACCCAGAACAGCAAATATTGCATGCTCCAGGAGCTGACCGTGCAGCACAGGCATGGTTGGATACATTAAGCGCTTGGCAAGTATCTATATTTGAACTCTGACGTGGGTTCATTACTAAATAAAGTCCTTGTAGATTTCACAAGAGGCACGCACGCATCTGAGCACCCGGACTCCTTTGCAAACCTAACTGCAAACTACAGGTCTCGGAATGCTGGGTGGGGTCTAATTTCAAAAACCCCGTGCAAACAGCCTCCACGCCAATCATTTCGTCTTAACCACTAGCTGGATTCGAGCATTCCGCGCGCGAATGTAAAAAATTCAGATAGTCCCATCCATTCCACCAACTTCTAGGAAGGGAGAACCTTGCTCAGAGCCCAGTGCAAGATAAACTAACTTCGCTTTAGCGCGCTTTGTTTTCTCGGGGCTCGTGCTTTACCCAGCTGTATCTCTCCGCCTTTTCCTTTGGGGAAGCAAGGAACACCGCGACACTGCCGGGTTGCAGAACATCGAGGGTTGGGCGGAAGAATATTCTCCAAACACTTCACAAGCTCCAGGAGCTAGTGTGAAGTCTTGCTCCCCGCCCGCAAACTGCTTTCGCAGTCCAGCACAGCCCCTTCCTCCAATCATACACTTCGTACAAGTTGGAAGCAGTCAGTTAAACGAGTCACCGTTCGCCGAACAAACGTGCCCACTACCAGCACCACTCACACGCACTCGCCCTATTTTTTTACACACCGTGGACGCGAGCGCGCCCCAAAAGAGTCCCACCGACCCCCACTAGAGGCAATGTGAATTCTAGTAGGGGGCGTTTAACCAACGCGAGCGCGTATGCTTTGAACCCGCGGAAGCAACATACCCCTCTATATAAGGTGCGCAAGCTCCAGCCTCGGCGCCAGAAGAGGTCCCGGCGTCAGAAGAGCAGACCTCGAGGTAGTTGCCACGGCCCCAGCGCGGAGTCTGCTGAAGCGCAAGCCTTCATCGACAGCAGTCAAGGCATGGCGTGCAGCCACCGTGACACCGGCTACCGCAGCCTGGGGGTCGACGAGGACGAGGAAGAACTGCATAGTTAGTGTCTATACGGGGACAGGTGCTTTGGCAAATTCCAGAAAAGGAACTTTCCGTGGGAAGGGCAGGTGGACGGGACGCTGCGCGGCAGTGGCCGTCCTGCAGCCCGCGCACCGTGGGCTCTCTCGCCCCGGTCTCTCCCCTTTGCTTTTCTCTTTTCCCAGATGCGGAGCCTACCTTGACCTCGGAGACTAACCGGAGGAGAGGAGGAGGTTACGCTGTCCGAACTGAGCCCGGAGAAGCAGCAGCAGCAGACTACTTTGATGCGGTCGGTCCCAACTTCTTGGACGAAAACCGTGAGGGCGGCGGCGGTCTTGAGCCCCCGCAGCAGCAGGAGGAGCTGGCCCCCCCGGCCGCTGAGGGGCCACAGATCGTACCGAGAAACCTGCGCCGCAACCGTACGGTGTTCACCATCTTGCAGCTGCGGGAGCTGGAGAGAACTTTCCAGCGCACTCGTTACCCCGACGTGTTCGCGCGGTAAGTGGCTGGCTCCGGAGACGCCTAGTTCTCCCGGAGCCCGCACTCATCCCAGGGCGCCTTAGGCTCTTTCTCAGGACCCTCCCCCTCCTCTCCTGGGCCAAAAGCTACTTAGGAGGCTCGAGGGCGCCGGGTCCGCCCTAGCTCTCTGGGCGTGGCGCAATGCCTATAGAGTTTGCGGGGGTGCAAGACGGGAGCGGAACTCGGGTGGAGAAAGGAAGGCAGTGCCGATTAATCCTGCTTTAATTTAAAGTCTTGGTAATTTGTTCATCATGGAGTTTTGCATTCCTTTTTACATTTTGAAAATTGCATTAAAATATTTATCGTAATTACTCAGCTTTTTCGCGCCCTTTAAATTTTGCTCACGAGGCGAGCGCCTCATTGGCCTCACCCTAGTCTTGGCCCTGCCTCGTGGAGCGCTGTTTCCAGGCGACAGTTTCGACCCTTAGAAAGCCAGTGACTTATTCTCGTCGCTTACCTTCCCCGGAGAATTTGTGGTCCAGACAAGGGGAAAGCCTGTTCTGGCCCGGTAGCAATGGAGGACGAGGACAAATAGGTGTGAGGTTTAGGGGCGCCCTTTCAGGTTCCATTGTATTCAATCTTCGCCCGCTAAAGAGCAAAAAGAATTTCCCTTGATTGCTTGGCCAATGTGGTTTGAAGTTTCTCCCTGAGAGTTTACTGCTTCCTTTTACAATAAACAGAAATAACTCTGGTTCAGAACGCCGCTTTTTTGGTATTTTGGCGTTTTATTTATTTATTTTTAACATCTTCTTTGGAGTGTAATTGCTTTACAATACTGTGTTGGTTTCCCACAAACGGAAAAATTAATTGAGTCATATTCAACTAACAGATACACTATCAGGAATTTTAATATGTATTCCCTTTTAATATTTTATTTAACAGATGAGTTGTCCATGGGAAAACTCTCCCTAAAGTAAACCTCAAGCTGTATTACAGAAAACTGCGGGGAGGGGTATAGAAATGTAAATGATATATTTTATCCACAACTCCAAATACTGAACATTTGCACTTTTCACCCCCTCAGAGAGGCGATTGCAAGACGCTTGAATTTGCCTGAAGCCATAGTGCAGGTCAGTAAATCTTAATTTTAAAATTGGCAGGACAGCCATTCTAAAACATGCTTTAGGTTTTGCCCTGGAAACTCTCAGGTTGGTGTGTTTTGTTGTGTTTTCCGTGTTTAGCAAATAACTTTTGAACAATGGGCGCTTTGGGGGTGGGAAATAGGACAAGTAAGTTCGAGCTTATGGAAATTGTACTTTACCAGAGAGAATTCGATTTCCTAAAGGGAAAAATATAAAACACACACGTCTCTCCTCCTCTCTTTATACACACACACACACACACACACACACACACACACTTTATTTTCCAATAAATAAAGCTCGTCTCCCTCTGACACTGGCATCTTTTAGGAAGGATGTTAGTATTCCCTAAAGGAATATTTCTATGTGGAATTTATTGGGGCTCAGTCTCACCTGGGAAGTATTCAAATGAATACACGGAAGAGCTAGGTTATAAGAAAGTTCAACTGTACTGAATTATTTAAAATACTTAAAACCAGGCATAAGCTCTTGGCTAAATGAGTGAACATATAAATATTTAGACATTGGGGTGAGAGAGTAATTCAAACACAGAACATAGTACATGAGTAACTAATACACATTTAGTTAAACTGAAACTGATGCCCGGGGGTGGCTAAAAAGCCCAAGTCCCAGTGCCTAATCCTCCTGCCGCTGTTTTTAAGTGTTTTGCAAATCAGTGTAGAGAGTGGCAGTCTTAAGTTCTAATATTTTTGGAAGACTTTGATGTCAGCCTGAAGACATTGCTAAAATATTGCAGTTACGGTGGTAATGGGAAAAGGTTTGTAAGCTTTGGAAAATTATCCTCAAAAAATGAATCCAAAAAAGAGAAAGAATAATTTTGAATTAAGTTCCATTGACCTAAGAAGGAATGAAAGGTTAGAGAAGAATCGTTTACATTCAAATATGTGCATCGCAGGTGACATACAAATTCAACTTTATGAAACTACTAAATGAATAAGTGAATATTCTCTTGAAGAATTTTTAACATCTAAGATTTTTTTTATCCTTTTTGGTGGTATTGTTTTGAAAAGGTGGATTTCCGGAATTTGATTGGTTGTGAGGGTGATCTCACTTCAGGCCAGATTCTCACCTGTGCTAATTTAAAATACTTTTTCATTTATTCAGGCAGTGATTACAAATTTGTAGATCATGGAATCAAAAAGTGACTATCTGAGGGCATAGAACACCATAGTTACATCAAAGAAGTATTTTCCCCCCTCAATATAAATATATAAATAAATGAATACATATATATACATATATATACATATATATACATATATATATATATATATATATATATATATACCTACCTCAGATGGCTTACTTGTTTTGCCCCAGAGCACATGCATGAGTACAGTGATGGAAACGTACTGCCCATCTGTCTGTGGTATGCAGAAAAGCAGGCCACTGGATGGTGGCATCCTAACGCCACAGGCTGGACCAACAGTCAGGCTTGGTCTCAGGACGAGTCTCAGACAGGCAAGGTAAACCCAGAGGAAAAGAAAAACAAGGTTTGCTGAATTGCTTTTCCTCATGCCTTGGTTTACATAGTCCTCTTAATGGATTTCTGAAGGGAAAATGAGCCAGAAGACACAAGTAAGGAAAAAGACAGTGTTCTCATAAATTTCCAAACACTACAGCATGAATTTCCCCAAGAAACTTAATAGATGCTTCTCCCACCCATCTTGTGCAAATATAGTAGATCTCTTTTATGAAACCAGTATTGGGAATATGGACCTAATATTGACCCATACCAAAATTTGCCATACGTGGGCTTTTGGTTATGTTTAGGGAGATTAGACCACAGGTACATTTGAATCCCTCCAAAATGAGCTCTATTATGGTGGCCTTCTTCAGACTATATATCCATGTAGTAGAAGGACACCAAATCCTAAAATGGGAGAGAGAGAAGGTGGCTTCGGGCAGGCAGAGAGAAGAGGCCATTTGTCTCACTTAAAACCTGCCATTTGGGCACGTCCAAAAGGATTAAATACCATGTAAACCCCATCAACTAGTACACTAAGAGGACACTAGAGTCTAACTGATAGCTTGTTTGTTTGTTTGTTAATAGTTGGCAAGCATTTAGGGAGGAGCCTCTTTTGTGACCCCTGTCCCCACAGGATTGAACATAATTGGACCTTCCTGCCTTAGGAATGAGTGATGCTGGCAGGGCCTTGGGTACCCTAACACTCTGGGTAACAGTGGCTCCTGTCCAGCATCCTGAAACTGAAGCTGGGACCGAATGAGCTGACCTTGTCCTGAGCCCAGAAAGGTTTGGAGGGTAGGGCAAATTGGAGAATACAAAATTGACAGTGGTGACAATAGGGTGCCCAATATCTTATCTGGGGAAAAGGATTTTGGCTTTAGTGAATTTGGATTTAGTTAAGCTAAACTTTCCTTAACACTAACGGCTGAAATATCAAGGCAGTGTCCAGGGCTTCAGCACCTCTCATGTCCCAGCAAGACAAGCCACAAAGTCCCTGGGACCCCCATGATCAGGCCTCCATTGACATACCATCTGCTTTAAGTCTTACGAGGTTTCAGAGAAAGAATGATCTGTTAAACATCATTGAAGGAAACCTTCTGTCTAAAAGTGCACCATGCCCCTATGGATTAGTTACTTCAGACTGAAGATGGGCTTTGCAAATAGGGTATGGTTCCCCTCGGTATGACTTTAATTGGACCCATCTTTATCCCACACTCAGCTTCCCTCACAACCATGATGACGCTACTCCTGGTGAGAAGGGGGTGGAGGCAGCTGGACAGTGATAGTCCCAACAGCAGGGACCTGGTGCAATTCATCAGTTAGGCCTGTATCCAGGACTTGGAAAAAACCCATTAAGGAATATTAAAAATGAGAGACAAATCAATGTGCCAAAGTCTGGACTAGGCTTGGTTCACTAAGGGTTAGCTGAGGGAGGTGTGCTGTTTGCTTTCCTAAGATATTTTAGCAATAAGGGAATAGCTTCTCCTGCTGCAGTGTAAAATCTCAATGGCAGACTTGCCTGGTGTGTGTTTTCTATTATGACATTAACTGTTCAATATACTAAACCAATCTCTTTTTCCCTCTGATTGAAGGTTTGGTTTCAGAACAGAAGGGCCAAGTGGAGAAGACAACAGAGGGCACTGATGTTCAGAAATCTGATCCCCATTGCCTTGCGCCCCCATGTGGGGATAATCTTGAATGGGCCCTATCAGGCAGTCCCTGTTATAAGGCCTGCATGGAGATGTGTTCCTGCAGTGCCACTTGCACCACCTGTGCTACCCGGGCCACCACCTCTGCCACCCAGGCTGCCACTCGGGCCACCACCTCTGCCACCCAGGCTGCCACCCGGGCCACCACCTCTGCCACCCGGGCCACCACCTCTGCCACCCGGGCCACCACCTCTGCCACCCCGGCCACCACTTCTGCCACCCGGGCCACCACCTCTGCCACCCGGGCCACCACCTCTGCCACCCGGGCCACCACCTCTGCCACCCATGCCACCCGGGATGCCTTTGCCACCCCTACCACCTGTGCCTCCCTTTGCTGTGGCCCCTGTAGGTATTGCATGGGGCCCTGTCATCAATGGTCATTTCACAGGTCCCATTTTCTGAATATGGTATTCATGATAGTTATTCCATTGTATTGTTCTGCCAGATAGAAGTTGTTCACAGCACATCAAAAGTAATTGATCAGAATCCTGTTAGATGAATAATTGGACAAAATCAGTGCATGTTGTTTTTGGAGAGCATGTTGTGTTTTCAATAAAGATACAAGTTAGCAATATATTGATTTTTGCTGTCAAATGGACTAAGTTGGGTATGCATGGGAATGGCTAAGGCAATGCAATTCAAAGAGAATGTCGAAGAAGCTTCCTTTCATAATGTGATAGCTCTGAGTCACCATAATAGGTAACAGAGTCCTCCCAGTGCCTGTGGCAGGTTTACACTGACCACATGTTCTCCTCCCCCCATCCCCATCCGTACCCTGACCCGTTGGGAGCACATACATGTGCGAGATGGGAAGGGATGACCCTCTGCTGAGAGTACAGTATGTTTCCAGGCAGGGACATGTTCTATTCAAGGAGCTCAACAGCCATGGACTCTAAGGGAATCTTTCTAAGAGGCTGCTCACAGGGCTGTAAGGAAAGGAGGTGGCAGCCAAACATCCATCTGGTCTCCAAATTCTGTTCACTGCCCTCCATTTTATGGAGGTGATAGGGGAATAGGAACCATTCTGGTCCCAAGACACAAGAGGGGGCTCCATTAAGATCAGAAAATGGTTCTGTTTTCTCACCCCACACTCCCAGCCCAAAAGAGCCTATTATTGTAGCTTCCCCAGCCCAGATGCAGACAATCACACCCTGAAGTGTATTTTGTCACCCTCAACGTCCGAGAGATGGTCCCCTGAACAGAGTTCCAGAATAGGTACTCATTAAAAAGAAGCAGATCTTTACTTTACCCATAATTTCTTCATGTAAAACTGCCAGGTGAGAAAAGAAAAACAAAAATGGGAGGTGAGAAAAGGAGGCCAGGCCAACTATTTTTAAAATATTGCTATCTTTTCAGTAGAACTCATGCTTCTTATCAATTTCTATCAATGTACAGTGATTTTATGAACAGTCATGCTATGAAGTGACTGCAGTGACTTCACATAGGGGTGTCACAGTGACACCAGAATTTCCTCGCACAGGAAGTGGGTTGGGGAGAAGGGGCTTATCAAAGACAAGTTTCACAGCAGTTACATGTTCCTAGTTTGAAGGGAGGCTTTATTTTCATGGAAAAGCATATGACTTTTGCAGTATTGTCCAATACTTTGCATTCCTTTCTTCGCTCCCTTCACACATATGGATACCAAATGTCAGCAAGGTGGTTGTATCAAATGTGGGACTCCTGCAGAAAAGAGGTTATTGCTACTGCAGAGGCCCCAGCCCCTGTTGGGAGTGAGGGACATCCAGGATGCGCCTGTGCATACCCATTGCCATCCTCCCCCAGTGATTTTGAAACAACCATTCTCATTTCCCATTTTTGCCCCCGTTCCTTCTTGCTAAACATCAGGTTCCTCGATGCTGTAAGTCCTCTTGGAACTGCAGGATCTGTACGGATTGAAGCTCCAGGACCCCATACAGCCTTGCCACCCTGAGACTCAAACAGTACCCAGTGCACAAATCCCACAGTTTACTCTCAGATGCAGTCTGACAAACACAGAACATTTTTTCATCTCAGGCTGCCTGGAAGAAGCAAAAAAGTAAATAAATACCCTTCCCCATAAGTGGATGGGGTCTTCAAGAGACATATATACTATTTTAAAAAACATAGGACTAGGGCTTCCCTGGTGGCACAGCGGTTAAGAATCCGCCTGCCAACGCAGGGGACATGGGTTCGATCACTGGTCTGGGAAGATCCACATGCCGCGGAGCAACTAAGCCCATGTGCCACAACTACTGAGCCTGTGCTCTAGAACCTGTGTGCCACAACTACTGAGCCCACGTGCTGCAACTAATGAAGCTCACGCACCTAGAGCCTGTGCTCCGCAACAAGAGAAGCCACTGCGATGAGAAGCCCGCGCACCACAATGAAGTGTAGCCCCCGCTCACTGCAAGTAGAGAAAGCCTGTGCACAGCAACGAAGACCCGACACAGCCAAAAATAATAAAATTTTAAAAAAACAACACATCTACTTCTTCCAGGTGCCAGATGATTTAAGGAAGGATGGTGGGATGGAGGCAGAGGAAATATGCAAAACGTTTCTGCATAAGATAGGTTCCCCTCAGTCTAGGTTTTGAAAGGGAGAGGTCTTTTAAAATAATCTCACAAATAGCATCCTCTTAAAGTGTATTTCAAATATCCCCAAAGCATAGATCAGAAATTAATTATTTTAATATAAGGAAATTATTTCCATTTATTAAAAATCATTAGAAATTGACTATGGGCAAATATATTTACCTGAGATGGTCTATAAAGACCTGGCAGTTTTGGGTGACAAAGTTTAAAAACATAATCTCAGGAGAAGTACAAGTACTTCAGCATTTTACAGTGATAATTCTGGATGTGCTCTTTCTAAAGTTGTTTCACATTCATGAACACATGACAGTTTTCACAATAGTCATTTTTTTAATTTTTTATTTTATTTTTGGCTGTGTTGCGTCTTCGTTGCTGCGTGCGGGCTTTTCTCTGGTTGCAGCGAGCAGGGGCTACTCTTCGTTGCGGTGCACTGGCTTCTCATTGCGGTGGCTTCTCTTGTTGTGGAGCACGGGCTCTAGGCACGCAGGCTTCAGTAGTTGTGACACATGGGCTCAGTCGTTGTGGCTCGCGGGCTCTAGAGCGGAAGCGCAGTAGTTGTGGTGCACGGGCTTAGCTGCTCCGGAGCATGTGGGATCTTCCCAGACCAGGGCTCGAACCCGTGTCCCCTGCATTGGCAGGCGGATTCTTAACCACTGCGCCACCAGGGAAGCCCACACAATAGTCATTTTTGTGGTCAAATTAAGCAGGGAGAAGGTATGAGGTATTTGGGGGGAAAGCAAGCTTTTTTTATTAGAATTAGATTTATGTAACCTGGATCTTGTTTCAAACAAATCTAGTCAGAACCTTGGAGGTCTAACTTGGAAGAGCCTGAGAGTCAAAATCCCAGCCATCCTTTGGACTACAAGTACTTAGGAAAAAAGGGCAAGGAAAGGAGAGACTAGAAATAATTATTTGGTTGAGAATACAAGGATCTTCCTTGAGATTGGGGTGAAAAGTGACTTTTTAAACAAAGAGTTACAGTACTGTAAGTGTATTTTTGTTTATTTATTTATTTTGGCAGCATTGGGTCTTCGTTGCTGCGCACGGGCTTTCTCTAGTTGCGGCGAGCGGGGGCTACTCTTCATTTCGGTGCAGAGGCTTCGCATTGCAGAGGCTTCTCTTGTTGGGAGCATGGGCTCTAGGCACATGGGCTTCAGTAGTTGCAGTGCATGGGCTCAGTAGTTGTGGCTCACAGGCTCTAGAGTACAGGCTCAGTAGTTGTGGCACACAGGCTTAGTTGCTCTGCAGCATGTGGGACCTTCCCAGACCAGGGCTTGAATCTATGTCCCCTACATTGGCAGGCAGATTCTTAACTACTGCGCCACCAGGGAAGTCCCTGTAAGTGTATTTTTATAAAGGGGAAGAGAGTTTGATCTGAGTTGTTTTCAAAAAAATAATCAGACATTTGCTTGCATTCTGAACATAGGGTAATATGCTTAAAGTTGGGCATGCTCTGAACACATACAGTTATACTGTTTTCCCACCCAGACATTTAGTGCTGGTATGACTCTTGGAATTGATGGAAACCTGAAAGTAAAATACCAGAGTCCTTCCCTGTATTTCCTGATTGGTAAATCCTACTTTGTCTAATTTGAATCCTGTAGCCCAGGGCCTCCTGTTGATGATGGTTGGGGAGCTGGTATAAAGTGGTACATAGACAGAGGTTCTCAGACCTTGAGTGGACACTGGCTGGAGGCAAATCATATCATAATCTAACTCTCATCATACACCCTTCTTCCTAAGAATGCTGCACGAAATTATCATTTGGGGATTCATTTCAGGCTTTCCTAATGCTCCCTCCCAACTAGTCAAGGCAATAGAACGTCCCAAAGAGAATGAACTCTTGCGTCAGATACCTCCTCTTCCTAGCAGACACTTTCTCATCTTCCTTTAATGTACTTCCACACAAGGTCACGTTAATTTGGCAAATAAGACAAATGCTCACAAGTCCTGCAGTCAAAGGACAGTGATGACAGAGAATCAGTCCAGTCATTTCATGCCACTCTTCCAAGCCGAGTGCCTTTCTTTTTCTGAGGGACACTAGGCTTAGAGGAAGAGACCCTGGTATTCTCTCTGAACTGGAGGGGGCTTTCACAGTCATCCAGTCCACTCCCTTCATTTTGCAGATGAGAAAACACGGGCCCAGAGCACTGGCGTGGCCTGCCTTGGGTAGCATGCACAGTTCATCCTGGAGAAGGCCAGCCTCTGTGTGGCCATACCCTCCCCTGGGCCCAGGATTTCCAAGCCAGGGGCAGCACACACCAGGCCAGGTTCAGCTCCTCTGTGCTCATCACCTCCATCCGCCCAGAACTCTTTCCTTCAAGGGGCTACAAACTCAAGGTTCCTTCCCAAGCTTCGGCACTGGGCCATTTTACCTCTAGGAAAAGTAAGCAGCTTCCCCTGAAGGCATGCAATATCCTGGTGTCTACTCTTGAACGCTGAACAGCAGGGGCTTGAGAGAGTGATGCAGTTTGTACCCTCCTCACAAAAGGCCAAGTGTGCTTCCATTACAATAACCCGCGTTTCTCCCAATCCCCCGGCAAAGCTGTGCCTGCCAACTGGCAGCACAGAACATAAGCCATAGCCAGCTCTGGGCTTGTGTTGAATTAACTTTTTTTGTAAAGTAGGCTAATAGTTTGGAAACTGTCATTATGCAATTAGTATTCATTTTGAAATGTGGTTATTTATGCTTTGCCTTGATCAATGTCACACTCTCTCCTTCTCAGATGTCACTGAAATGCTCTGGGGCAGGGACCCAAAGTGCAATGGTGTAAATTTAATTTTCAAATGCACCCTGATGGTCGGCATGCCTCCCCATGCAAAGCATAGATC